AGCCAGACTACCTTAAAGATTATTTCTTCTTTTAGATGTAAATGAGGATCAGAATGAACTGAGTATTCCCATTACCAGAGGTATGATGGTTTGATTCAGACCTATAAAATACAGAGGCTTTTTTGATTAAAAACTTCCAGAGGGCAAGGCAGAGCTCCAGGGAATAACAGTACTATCTTGCCTGTACCCTAGATACTTGCCCAATCTGAATTTTAAATTTATGTGGAAAAAGACTTTATTAATAAAAGCACTGTGGTTAAAACTTTGGAAGCACAAAATGCTAGTATAGGGAACAGAACAGCAGGTTGTCAGAATCCCTTCTGTCTGCCTAATTACACTGATCCTGTACTTAAAACTCTGCATATTGTCCTTATACTGATGTTTCTGTCAAGTTAAAAGTCATCATGGTTTCCTGGAAGAAGTGGAAAGCATGAAACCACTGACCAACTCTGCACTGTGCTATTTATATATCTATCACAGTTTGGTCAATCATGGAAAAAAATTCTGGAGAAAACTAGCCACACAACAGTGAGTACAGGCTGTATTGCAACAACACAATACACAGCAGCCATCTACAGGCCCTGGTGCAATCAGCTGAGTATCACCCCTTAATACAGGGAGAGAATTTATTTCCCTCTCATTAATTTTCTCTCTCTCTTTGTAAAATGGTCACAAAAATTAATGAGTTTGACATAAATGACACAGTGTAAATTGCATGAGAGCAGGTTTATAACTCAAATACAAAACAGTTTTTCTTCTCTTCCTCCTAAGAGGATAGGATTTCTATGGGAGTAGCTGTACCAATACTCACTCCATATTTGGGAGAGCAGTAAGATTGCCTTCAGGGAGAATAGCTGTTCTTAGAACCATTTTCATTGCACTAAGATTAGTCACTAGTCCTTTGGGAACTCTGTTTCTCCAAATAATCCAACACAGAGAAAACAGAAAAGAACTGATTTAACAACAAATGTCATTAGAGGCCTGGTTTAGGTGAGTTTTTTGTGCCCAAGCAGTAACAATTTGAAGATGTGCTGTTTTAATGATAGTTAAATCTCACTGAAACAACAAATAGGCCACATGCAGACATGCAGGGGCAGGATGTTTGTGGTGTCACAAACTGCACACAGAAAACATTAAAACGTGCTCCGTGCTGCAAATTTGCAGTACGTGGCCAAAATTTGCTACCAGGATTTCTGGTAGCAAAAATCCCCCAAAACAAAAACAACCTCCTCCTCCCCAAACCACCCAGAAGAAAAAGCAGCGCAACACATACATAACAAGCATGCATCAGTACGCACAGAGGATAGGCTGTCCAGAGCAATGCTCTGGCTGCTGTCCAGGCCTCCATGCTGCCCGACCTGTGCCCCTGCTGCTCCAGGCCACCAGGTAAGACTGCTGGGACCAGCATCAGTGTTGACCCTAGCATCTAGCTCTCCCTGGTTGAAGAGCTAGGAGGAGCTGGGCAAGGGCAGTTTGCCTGCTGCAGGACAATTTGTCTTGCAGCAAAGCTCACACGTAGGGACGTGCATTGTGGAAATTTATGCCGCTGCAAGCACATGCCCCTGCATGTCTGGAAGTGGCCATAGAGTCCATTAAATGCAGATGCTGTACTAATTGCCTTATGCTTATCTTAAGCCAAGTTGCTTTTTGCAAGTGAATGAAAGTTTTCAGTTCTTATTGTATACCAGTTCATTAGGATGAATATTTATATGACTCAGAAATCCTCTCTCCTGGGACAGACAGACACCCCTGTCTAATACCATGAAACATTCAGTCAACAAGGGTAAGATCAGCCAGAAACATGGGATTTTGGCATAGTTTAGACACCTAAATCCAAAACTGAAATCCTTAACATACCTGCCAGTAATGTTCCCTATGCACCTGAATTTCTGCCCATATCTGGAATTGCCAGTATTTTGCTTGGTCTGAGCAGTTTGGTGTCCATCTCATGCCTAATCCCATTTGGGATTCTCCATTTGTATTTCCATTCTGAGGACCAGAGGTATTTCTCCTCCAGAATCCCTGGATGGTGAACTCTATAACCCCCTTCAGGAATGAGATGTCCTGATGTCATGTTCAAGAACTGCATAGAGAATCAAAGTAATTCCTGATATGTTATGTGACAATTAGCTAAATATCAATAATCAGTACAAATAAACTGCTAAACTTGGTTTTACAAGCACAGGCCAGAACAAGCTGCATTAGTAGGTACAATGTCTATTATGCTGAGGATCAGTCTCTACTACAGCATAGCGTAGAGCAGTGGCACCCAACCCACAGCTCACAGGGTGACATATTGCTGATACTGCTCATGACTGCAGGGATTATAAAGTTAAAACCAAGGTCAACAGGGAAAGTAAGATACAATTTTGCCTGTGGCATGTTATTTGCTTGGTATTGTTGTCCATGGGCCAATGAAGGTTCGATACCACTCAGGGTTGCCAACCCCCCAATTTTCTTTTTTTTTACTGACAATCTGCAAACTTTTTACTGACAGCCAACCTTTTGAACTGACATACGTTTTATGTATTGTTTTCTGCCAGGCCCTGGATGGCAGTAAGAAGGGCTGAGTTCAAATTTAGAAGTTTAACACTTGGGTGCCTCGAGTCCCACACAGAAACACAGGAAAATACATTTTAACTGAGTGTTCTGAAGTGAACAAAACTCTACTCACAAGCAATGTTCAACTAAAACAGGGTTTATTACGGGGGGTGGGGGGGGGGGAAAGGGATAAACGCATGACCTTGGAGAAAACCTTAGCCATTAATCATTAAGTGAAACTCAAATAATTAATAATCTCAGTCAGCAAACCAAACATGGGGAGCTACCACCTAGCTCACTTTTCTGGAAGGGAGGCTCACCCATGGCTGCTGTCTGGGGGTTCTACCACCTGTGCTAGCCAAAAGTAACCCGCAAACAGCAGGATCTAGACCCTGCCTACCTTTGTGGTGAGCAGCTGTTATAGCAGGCAATGGCAGACAGGATGCAGCAGCAGTATGTGGCTACCAAAAGGATGAGACCACGAAGCCTCGTACTCCCTATAGGGCACCAAGTTGCGTTCCAGCTCAGGGTGCAGACAGAAGTGACAATTTTCGTCCAATCTGGCCAGAGAAAGCAGTTTCAGCTGTGACCAAATACAAATGCATGGCTGCAAACAACTTCAAAAATGGCCTATCAAGTGAAAATCTGACCCCTCATTGCATGAGGTATCAGATGAAGGCATTTAAAAATACAGTGTCTTTTGTAACTTGTGTCTGCAGAGCTCCCAGGCTGTCACTGTTTTCAGAATGGGAAGAGGGAAAGGGAGTGGAGGAAGTTCAGTTTGGGGTGGTTTCAGCCCCCCCCCCGAGGGTGGGGCAGGTGTATTGTAGCTCCCCAGAGGGGAGGGGGAGCTCCAATTCACCCACCCCACCCTTCAGCACCAGCTGGGGAGCCCCAAGAACAAGCTCCCTTTGCTGCCTTTCGTCCCTCCCATTATGACAACAGTGAGCACTGGCAGAGAGCCATGGCCATTGTTGTGGGAACCTGGCAGCAGGCTCCCAGCCCACAGCTAGATTTCCCTTCCCCTGGAGCCAACAATGAACTTCTCTTTGGTCCTGGGGTAATGGCAGAAAAGGCTCTGAGTTACAGCTGGGAGCTGCACTTCTGTCTGCACTGTGAAACACAAGGTGGCACTGCTCTGCTCTGTCCATAACACTTGCATCCAGCCTCATTCTGATGGCACATCTTCAATCAAGTTAATGATTTTGAAACTTTTTTTTTAGAAATGGCTCAATTTTATCTAATGGATTTTACAGACTAGGATTTAAAGCCTTTTTTTTTTTAATGGACTATCCATAAATTTAGACAGCGGCAGCCCTGATCCCACTACTGCAGAGACACCCAAGCTAGCTCTACATGAACCAGCCAGGATACCCCCAACAGTGGCAGCGGCACAGCCCCAGCAGTTCGGAGCATGCCCCAGGCTGGTTTACTGTGTCAGGAAGGGTCATTCCTAGTGTTGCCAGGTGTACGCTAATCATCCTACTTGTACCCTAACTCCAACTCTTGTACCATGTATGATTGATAATGGTAAAAGCGTTCAAAAGGTACGATCATTTTTGAGGCAGTTAACTGATACAGCATATAGAAAATACAAGTCACTCTCCAGTTTGCCGTCAGCACTTTCTTATGCTGGCTTGCGTCGAAATAAAAGACAAGCTTCAACTTTGGTGACCCAGTTGTCACTCACTCACCGGAGAGTCGGTGAGCAACAGAAAGTCAATAAGAGACTTATTTGCATGGGCACAGTCGTTTTTCAGCAAATATGATAATTTTGGGCTTCCAATAGGATCGTTTTATATTTAAGACCTGGCACACTGGTGGCTCCGGTCTCAACGTAAGGGGGCCGCCCAGGGTTGAAGTCCCACGCCGTCTCCTGGGGGGGCAGCCCGGGGGCTCAGCCCCTCAAGCCCGCCTATTTTGAGCGCTGGCGCAGGCTGCTTGCTGCAGGCCTTCTGCCCGTACCACACCGACGTCCTGCCCGGGAAGAGGCGGTGGCGGGCGGGTCTGTGGCCGCGGGGCTGGCCCGGGAGCCTTGCAGAGACAACGCGGGCTGAGGAAGTGGCCGTGCGCTGCGCCCCTGGCGGCCGCGCGGGGACGCACAAGCTCTCCGGCCCGGCTGGGGGGCGGGGGTGACGGCACAGCAGGGCCGGGCTGACGTCAGTTCTCTCGGAACTCCGTCGCGCATGACGCGAGCGCTCGAGAACCCCGCCCCCCTTCGTTGTCGCGCAGCAGCCGTAAAGCGCCTGGCAGACGCATGTGCCTCTCTTCTCCTGCTGTTGCCAGGCTGGGGCCGGCATGGGGAAGCGGCGGGGGGGCGGCCCGGCGTTAGCCGGCCTCAGCAAACGGCAGAAGAGGCACCTCCGCGACTTCGGGGAGCAGCACCCGGTCCGCGACGCGTGAGTGGGACCCACCCGTGGGTTTAGTGCGTCATCGGCACTAGCAGTGACGTCAGTCTGCAATCCCCCTTTCCCCCCGGGCAGCGGCCGGCGCCCTTCCAGCAGCCTGGCTGGGGCGAGGCGGGCACAGCAACTCCAGGCCAAGTCGTCCGGCTCCATAGCCATGGACCTACTCGCTACCACTGCCCTGGTGCTGCCGGGTCTTGCTCGCCCTGCCTGGGTCAGGCTCCCAACAGCCGGGGGGTAGACATGAGGTCATGCCCATCAGAGGTCATCTCCCTGCGGTGGGCATCAGGTTATTTCCCTGGGGACTGGTTATGAATACTGGAGCATTCACTGGTAGCAGTTATGTGTGAGAGGGAGATCCAGAAAAATCAGAAAAAAAGGCTGAGAAGTGCTCTAGGAACTCTTCTCTTGAGAAGGAAAACGATTGGGTTTCGAGGGCTGTTGCTACCATCTATTATGGACAGTGGTAGTGATCAAGTTTCACAACACAAAATTCAAGACGTTTCTAATAATTTCACTTTTCGTTCTTGCGTATCTGACAGTACAGAAGTGCTAAAGCCAACCTCTTCCTTCTCATGAGACAGATGTAGAAATGATATTGGTTGACTGGTTTATAGTAAGATTTGTTGACAGTGGTTTTATGTAGAGTTTAGGTTGTGGGTTGGGGTAGGGATGATCCTGCCTCAGGCAGGGGTTTGGCCTGGTTGACATCTGGAGGTCCCTCAAAGCCTGACTTTTCTATCGTTTTCCTGTGCTGCCATCATATGATGCCTGGTCACCTGAACCAATTGGCCCAAACCTGTCATTCACAGTCACTATTGGGGCCTTCTCTTGAATGGCTCACTTCACCCCTGGCACAGCTTCAGCCTCCAAACTTGGTTTTAGTTGCAGGGAGACTGAGGGCCTTCTTGCGTGGTAATTTTGGGTGGCTCCTGGAGCTCATAACCCCTGGATTGTCTGCACATTAACACCTGAAACTTGTTTTAAGCACTCGTTATTATGGCTCAAAGTTATACCACTCTAGGGCAGCAATTCCCAAGCTGTAGTATGCAGACAGCCCTGTCGGTGGTATGTGTTAATGGATTTATCATAATTACTTTATGACAAAAATATGCTGGTGATACTTAAGATTGAACTGAAAAATTTTCTGGTGGTACTTACGGTTGTATCATTTTACATTAGTGGTGCCCAATCTGTCAGTTTGAGAACCACTGGTGTTATCTCTGATCCATGTTACCCAGCTCCTGTTTCGCTATGGTATAGCCACTCTACCCTCGCCTTCTGGCTTGGATAAAGCTTACTGTCCTCCTACCCTTTCCAGTATCTCAGATCCCTGCTCACTATCCCTACTGCCCCCACCGCTGTGCTCACTTGTGGCTGCCCTTGCTCTGTCTTTCCTAGTAGAGAAGGGTTAACCTACCTGCCCAACCAGTGCAGCAGCTCAGCTGCAGGGATAGCCTGGCAGGTTAACCCTTCCCTACCTGCTCCCCTGGGACAGACATCTGGGCAGCTACAAGTAGGCAGGGGGAAACTGGGGGGCAGGGGGCAAGTCTGTAATGGGAGAGGAGATTCTTTTTTTCTAGTCCTCCAGGCCCCTGCTGGCCTAAATACGTGACGGCTCCAAAATTGAGCTAGCACTAACCCATCAACATTTCTGCCGCTCACGGTGTAAGGTATAACAAAGTCCTTACATTCTTTTGGATAATATAGATTACTCCCTTTTCCCTAGCACTCATTGAAAGCTGAAATTGATTTCTGTTTATTTCTTCAGGGTTTCTGGAAGAGAAGTCACTCAAATTTGTGAACTGGTAACATACTCTAATTGTTTTTCATATTCTCCTTTTGTATTGCTGTTATACAAATTATACAGATATAATGAAAACTGTCAGACAGGATGAAGTTATTTTAGCTCTCAGGGTAAATTGCAGATAAAAACCTCGTTCCAGAATTTTTCAGTTGTGTTAAAAGCAGCTAGGGAACATGGAAGAAAATGTTTAAAATCAAACAAAAACAAAGTTTGCAGTCCAAGACTTACAGCTGTGTATGAAGTCAAGAGAGCCAGGCAGTGACACTGAATGGAAACTGCCCAAGCTTAGTGTTTTAATATCTTGCATTTCATTCAGCAATAATGATGACCAATCCATTAGACTTCTAAACTTGAGTGTTAAAAATAAATGAGTTATACAAACCTCAGGACATTCCTTTCACTTTACCTTGGTGACCGTTGCCCATTATAGAATCATAGAAAATTAGGGTCGGGAGGGACTTCAGAAGGTCATCCCCAACTAGATCATTCCATCCGGGGCTTTATCAAGCTGGGCCTTAAAAAACCCCAAGGATGGAGATTCCACAGCCTCGCTAGGTAGCTCTTTCCAGTGCTTCACCACCCTCCTAGTGAGAGAGTTTTTCCTAATATCCAACTTAAATTTCCCTTGCTGCAACTTGAGACCATTGTTCTTTGTTCTGCCATCTGCCACCAGCGAGAACAGTCTAGCTTCATCCTCTTTGAAACCCCCCTTCAGGTAGTTGAAGGCTGCTATTAAATTCCCTCTCAGTCTTCTCTTCTCCAGACTAAATAAGCCCAGTTCCCTCAGCCTCTCCTCAGAAATCATGTACCCCAGCATCCTAACCATTTCTGTTGCCCTCCATTGGGCTCTTCCAACTTGTCCACATCCTTTTTGTAGTTGGAGATCCAAAACTGGACACAATACTCCAGATGTGGCCTGACCAGTGCAGAATAGAGGAAAATAATTACTTCTCTTCATCTGCTGGCAACGCTTCTACTAATGCATCCCAGTATACTGTTAGCCTTCTTGACAACAAGGGCATGCTTGACTTCTATCCAGCTTCTTGTCCTGTGTAAACCCCAGGTCCTCTTCTGCAGAGCTGTTGCTTAGCTAGTTGGTCCCAAGCCTGTACTGGTGCATGGGATTCTTCCGTCCTAAGTGCAAGACTTTGCACTTGTCCTTGTTGAACCCCTTGAGATTTCTTTTGGCCCAATCCTCCAGTTTGTCAAGGTTCCTCTGAATCCTAGCCCTGCCCTCCAGTGTATCTCCTACTCCCCCCAACTTGGTGACATCCGCAAGATTATGGGGTAAAAAAAATTATTTTCATTCTTCACTAAATTATATTTCACCTCTCAGTGAAGACCTACAGCAATCCTCATTTTTCTTACCCTGGTCTGTAGCACTTAATTTTCTTTTTTGGTTGTGGGGGGTGGTGGTTAGTTTTTTTGATCAGGAGGAATCCTTGCTCTCATCACTTTTCAAATGGACGAGATGACTTCAAAACTTTGAGGGGAAAAATAAGTTGCTCTTCTAGTTTCTCTTGGCAACACACTAGGATCTGGCTCTGAGTCAGTGTCTTCTGGTTGTGAAGTAGACTAAACTAGAGCAGGTTTCTATTCATGCTCCCTCTGTGTGCTTCTTTTTTGTATATCAGTTTAGTGGAATTTGTTGCCTGTGTAGACTGCAGACATTCTCATCTTCTCCCTGACCATGGGTTAGATTGATAGGGTCAAATCTCTGCAAGTTCACTGAGATAAAACATTTCAGGATTAGATGCTCCTAGAGTCAGTATTTAAAAGCCCAGTGACAAGAGTTCACTGTTGAGATATTGGTGTCTAAATGTGCAAACTCTTCTATTCCTAGACAATTTTCGTGTTCTGATCTGGGCAGATTGTCCTTTTGTACTGTGCACAGACTTCCTTTACAGGAAGGTTTCCTAACAAGAGTTCATTTAATATGAACCTCATGAACAGAGTCAAAAAGAAAGCAATATTGTACCAATATCTGTTGCCAGTGTTTCTTGCTTACAGTAGTGCTTTGTTTCTAGAGTTGCATTTTTCAGAACTCTTAACTTCTCTGAATTTCATTCCAGCGCTTACATGGTACTGATTGCACTTGGAGAAGGGGAATTACATTTGCAGAAGTACTTGGGGGAGAGAGCCACACAATTTATAGTAAAATTAATGGGATTTTTGTAGTTAAATACGCTAGGATGCTTTTAGAATTTTTTTTGGCGGGGGGTGGGGGGGTCTGTCTTAGTTCGTTGAACTTCAGAGATGCAATGAAACTATACTAGTCTGTTCAAAAGTAGAACTGGAAAGCAAGACTTAAAATGGGAGATGCTGGGTTAAATATGCACATTAAGTGAAGATGCTGTCACTATGCTTATATGTACTTTCTGTAAGCCTGTGGGCTTTTAGGAGCATGGTAAATGACCAGTGTTTTGTGTTTTAGCCTGAGAATTCTGATCAATCGAGTTCAGAGAGTGATGCAGAGAATGAACCAGAACGTGTCTCAGAGTATCACAAGCTTCTGGCCTTGTTAAAAACTGTTCCGGGTGCTGAAGAGGAGGAGGAGGAGGAGGATGAAGATGAGTCTGAAGAAGGTGATGAAAGTGAGGCAGAAACAAACAGTGAAGGGCCTCAAGAAGTTGGAGGTACAGATGAAGAAGATGATGAGAGTGATGTGCTGGGCCAGGAAGAAGGTAGTTTTATTTTTTTCAGATTTATTAGTGATGTTTGAATCATAAAGTACAAACAGACTGTGATACTGGATCCTAGAGCAGCTGGGCTCTCTGCTGGGTTTCTTGTTAGAGGTGCATTTGCTTTGGGCGCGACTGTGGAGCTTGAGATGAAAGTAGTTACCACGTCTTCTGTGCCTCGACTTTCCTGTGGCAACAACTATTAGATGCATGCAGTTGTTGAGACACAACTCTCTTGTACCCTGGCAAGTAGCCAGCCTTTCCTGACCTCCCATCCAGGGAATCCTCATGCTGTTGGATTCTGTTACACATGGGCAGTCTGGAGGCTCTAAACTATGCTTTCCCCCATGGCATGATCTGCCATAGAAGATGGGGCAGGATTTACCTGTTAGAGAAAATACTACTTTCTGCTTTGCAAGGAGACAGTTGTATTTATGAGGTCAGCAAAGAATCCTGGCAAAGAGGTGTCAGCTTTATGCAGCTTTTACCCATTTAAAATAATGTGTCTGTTTTGCAGATGGGTATTCTGGTTGCCAAAGGTATTATTTTAAAATAATCCTGAAGGCAACACAATATGCTGCATGTCACATTTGGCATGTGAGGTGACAGAAGGTAACACATGAACCTTCTGTTCTTTGCTCAGAATGGAGTGCTTGAGTACTTGGAAAAATATAAGTACAAAGCTGAACTAGTGTTAAAATCTAAGCAGTAAGAGTCAGGTAACTGTACAGAACATTTCTCCTAGGAGAACCTAACCTATTTCTATCTCCAATAAGTCACAGCTAAAGACGCAATAAAGCAGGCAGTTGGCCAGGAGCAAGCTGATGAAACGGATAACTCTGGTGACCCAAAACATGGAGCAATTGAGGAGTTCACTGATGTGAAACATGAATCTGAATTTAGCCTGGAAACCAATTTCATGGAAGAAGAGAGTGGAGATTACAGTGCAGCTGAAAGAGAGAGCAGCTCTTCTCGAGAGGTTTCTGAAGGTAAAATTTGGTGTGTGCGTGCACGTGTGTGTATTCAATGAGCTGTCCCCAAAGCAGGTTCTTCTGTTTGCAGTCTTAATGTGCATAACAGTTTCTCTATATTTATATAGCTTACTCCTTGGGGCATTTGAATTCTTGTGGTACCTTATACGGTTTGTACTCAGCCAGTTACATAAGTTATAGTTGAAGCTAATGTGGATGTACATCTTTTAATTCAGTCTTGGGAGTATCTTTTTCTTTTCGTACTTGCACACAGCACTCCAGTAACAGTGCTCTGTGCATAACACTTGTTAGGATTCATTGATTTTTCTTTTTTTTAAAAAAAACATCCAGCCTTGGTGTAGAACCCGGGTTGTTGGTGTTGAAAAATCTACCACATTCCTTTATAACTTTTTTTTCTTGTGATTAATAATAGGGCTGTGCAACATTTTGCTGGCAGTTTCATTTTGATGCTGTTTCGACTCATTTCGAGCTCAAAACGAAACGGAGAGCTTTGAAACAGCCTTGAAACGAAATGAGGCAAGTCGAAACATTTCAAAGCTCAAGCTGGGCTTGCCTGCAAGGAAACACAAACTAAAGTGAGGAGAGGGAAGGGAAAGTGGTGGGGAAGGAGTGCTCTCATTATTGACTGTGTAGCTGCCCAGTGACTGCCATCTTTCCCTGAGGTCTCTCCCAATCCCAGTGCTTTGGGGGAGAGATTGAAAAACTGCATAAAAGGCAGCATTGTTTGAACTGCCCTGCTTTTTGCCTTGGGGTCAGTTGAGTGAGGGCGCACCTTAGCGTGCGTGCGTGCGTACACACACACACACACACACACACACACACACACACACAACCACACACACAGTGACCCCCCCCCATCTCA